GCTCAACAGAAGAACAAAGTTCTACAAGCAGTTAGAAAAAAGAAACAAAACACATACAAAGGAAAGCCCATCAGAATCACAGCAGACTTCTCAATGCAAATCCTCAAGGCAAGAAGAGCTTGGAGTGACGTATTCCAAGCCCTAAAGGAAAACAGCCTCCAACCGAGGGAGATGTACCCTGCAAAACTATCTTTCAAAATTGATGGAGAAATAAGATACTTTCATGAAAAGAGCACCTTAGGAATTTCATGAATACTAAACCAGAACTCCAAAAAATTTTAGACAATTTCCTAGGGAAAGACAATGTAGATCACAACCCCAGGAAGTCCAGCACAATGAATCCATCAGGCACTACAAGAAATTAAATGTAAAGTGGGAGACTCCAACAAAAAGAAAACCTCATGACAATGATAAGTCAATACATATCAGTTATAACCATCGATGTTAATGGTCTCAATTCACCAATCAAAAGAAACAGACTAGCAAAATGGGTCAAGAAGCAAGATCCAACAACATGCTACATTCAAGAAACACACTTAATTCAAAGAGAAACTCATGGACTGAAAGTTAAAGAGCAGAAAACAATACTCCATATGACAGGAACCTGGAAAAAAGCAGGAGTAGCTATCCTCTTTGCAGATCAAGTGGATTTCAAACCAACAGATTAAGAGAGACAAGGACAATATATCCTTGTAAAGGAAACAATTCAACAGGAAGAGATGACAAACATAAATATATATGCCCCAAACACTAGTGTGCCCAACTATATAAAACAAATACTAACATATGAAAAATCAAATAAGCACGTAGACGGGGGCCTCAAAATCCCACTGTCACAAATAGATAGATCAACTAGACAAAAAATAAGCAAATAAATACTAGAAGTCAACCAAACTCTTGAATAAATGAACTGAACAGATGTTTACAGGGTGTTCCACCCCACAAAATCAGAATACACATTCTTTTCAGTTGCACACAGGTCATTCTCCAAAATAGACCACATACTCGCTCATAGAACATGTTTAAATAAGTGCAAAGGAATTGAAGCTATCCCCTGTATATTATCAGACCATAGTGCAAAAAAACTGGAGATCAATACCAAAAGAAACTGCAAGAATTTCATAAACATGTGGAAATTGAACAACACACTTCTGAATAACCAATGGGTCACAGAGGAAATTAAAGAAGAA